TTATTGTTACGAAACAACAAACTTTTAACTTGTTCTGGAACAATCTGATGTCATAACTTCACCACACGCCCTACCTCTCACTGTGTCTCCTGTGATAGGTACCTTAAGACACTAAAATTACGTTTATCACAATGAAGTTTTATCGAGAACTATTATTATTATATTTTCTAGTCCATTATGTAACAATTGGGCAACAAATGAAACATTTCATGAGAATATAAAACATTTCAAACAATACCCGAGAGCTTTATTTTATATAACTGACTTGTAAGCATCCATTAAATTTTAATAGCATCATTCGAATTAAATCGTAAACCTTTGAAACTACTTGAAATGTACTATAATATTGTAGAATAGTACAGATTCAAGGCAATTTTATAAACTAGCTGCAATATATCCCGCGATTTTGCCGGCATTGATCAATATATAACGCATTCAATATATTAATTACAAAATAATCAACAAAAACCACAATTCTCTATTACAGCGCCATCTAGTGTATATTTTATACAACTTAGAATGGCAAACAAACTGAAGGCCCACCTGATGGAAAGTGATAACCGTCGCCTATAGACATGAGCAGTACCATGGACATAACTGAGTATACTGTTTCGCCCATAATACCCCCCATGCGTTGCCATTCCTGAGGACTCAGGTGTTATTCCTCTGTACCCTGTAAATTCACACCATATCCCACCCTTCAAACCGAAACACAGCTACGCAAACACAACTGCTTCACGGTAGAAACACGAATGGGACAGAGGTGTCCAAGCAAACAAAATTTGTATAAAGTCTGGTTCCTCTGTGCCCTAATCCCTTTTTTCTCTATCTTTTCAATTAAGAGTTTTCTCTTGTCGGTGCGACCAATTCACGCATTTACCTCCAGCCAGTTATTATCCAGGTCATATCTTTGACCTCCCTATACGACTTTTTTATAAAGTCATTAATTAAAACCTAATCAAGTGATGATAAATTTATACAATAAATCATTCTTATATTTGGATCTTTAACATTCACCATATCAGCCTTCAACTGCTCAGTGCCTACCCCTTGGGGAGTTTTACCAGTAGTTGCCATGCTTGGCAGGCGAATTGGCAACCACAGTCAGGCTTTGGAGATGTTTTAAGGGAGACGCTGCTGTTCATCATTCGCCCTTCCTTAGTCGTCTCTTACGATACCCACAGGAAAGGAAGGGGTGGCCTATTCTATGCTGGGACCACACGACCAATCTTTAACATTGCACAAGAATTAGAAGATTATTTATAAATAACCTATTTTTGCCTCGTTTTAGTTTTTTTGTAACTTGTACAATTCTTCTTAATTTGTAAACCAAGTGTATTTCAAATTAAATAAATACACAATTTATGACAACTTCAAAATGAAGCTTCTCCATACCTACAAATAAAATTATTATTCTAACAACACGATATGTACCTACTGGTATGGTGCAATGGGTCGCGTAATCCTCTTTAACGTCATGGCGTCAGTTGGTATTCGATATCACTAACTGGATATAATCGTGAATCGATTGCACATCATACACCGTAACTTTTCCATACAATACAATCGAAGATAATTTTTGTTCAAATACTAGCGGCCCGTCCCGGCGTCGCACGGGTGGACATTATTGCATTTTAAAAAGTGGCCATTAAGGCTGCACACGCGACGGAAGCTCAAAAATGGAGTAACTCCTCCCGTTTTCCCAACATTTCCCTTCACTGCTCTGCTCCTAATGATCGTAGCGTGATGAAAAGTATACTATAACCTGCCCAGGAGTATGAAGAATAATTGTACCAAGTTTCGTTAAAATCCATCGAGTAGTTTTTGTTTCTATAACGAACATACAGACAGACAGACAAAAATTTTACTGATTACATTCAGTATCGATCACTGATCAGCCCCTGATAGTTATTTTGGAAATATATTTCATGTACAGAATTGACCTCCCTACAAATCTATTATAAGTATAGATAGATATAGATATTTGTTTACAAGCTCCTTTAAACCGTCACTTTTTTGAGATTCTATTGCTCAGTTTGGAATTTTGCTCTCTGCTAAAAAGAACCCGCCTGAAACCCAATTCATCTAAGGTGAAATATGATCAGATTAATAAATAAAAAGAATGGATGAGGAGAAAAAATGCCTCCTTGCGGAACTTCAGCATCCAGATCTCTGCCCAAAACCAATCCAGGACTGACGGAGAGAAGTTAAAATGGCATAATAATAAGTCATAGGAAAAGTAAAATAGTTGTTTATGAATAATATTCTTGAGTGCTTTTGAGAGAATGACATAGACTCTAGAAATTGTTAGGTATTGTTAGGTAGAAATTGTTAGGTAGAAATTGTTATTGTTAGGCTAGTCGTGCTTGATAACATTGTCGGTTAGGGAAGTGCAAATTATGTCTAACCAGGAGTCGTCGGCCGGATTGTGGTAAGTTGGTGTTGTAAGATCACATCACTAGTGTATATGGGACGTCACTAGAGGTGGACACTGATTGGTTGATTGTGTAACAATGCCTTTCTGAGTGATGAATAAAGGATCTGCAGTAATTAAATAAAACATCTATTATTAAAAGACTAAAAATATAACAGTTGGTCCTTACGATAAAATTGAGAATATGTAAAGCAAGTTTTTTCGGACATTGAATCGATTGATTAATCGATTCAATGTCCGAAAAAAATCATTACATTGTTTTAACATGTTACCGATTGTTATAACATGTTAAAACAATGTAATGATAAAAAACTGAACAATTGAAAGTCTGTGAATTCTGTAAATTTTAAAGGACTTCCGACACATGTTGAGTAAAAGCCTTTTTAGTGACTAGTTTTTTTTTAATTGTTAGTTGTTGTAATGTTTATATATGTTACTAAATAAATAACGTTTCTTTCTTTCTTTCAAATATTTTTTAGTCTCCCTCCTGTCTTCAATCTCATTCACTCGTTTTCTAGAATTAGCCAAATAAGTGCAGTTCTGAAGTAATGCGCTTCCACATTATTTTCGCATTTCGCTCTATTAATTTAATTTTCAAATTGATTTTATTAGTGCAATGCACCGCCGTTTACTCTCTTTGTTAAACGTAACGGTTGGCTAGTAGAGAATTTAATGTAATTTCGATTTTATCTTAATTAGATTGCGCCAAATGTTGAATACTCAAAAGACGTCTAATATTAATTAGAATATTTGTACATCGTAACACTTTTTTGCGTCAATGCAACTGCAAACAGTGTCCACTCAGCTGCACTGTACACAATAGACACCTAGTGAATTCATTTACATTACTAACGTTTTTGTTCCGTGCATTTCATAAGCACAACGTTTGTCTTATTTTTTGTCTTATATTCGTCTAATTCATCTATTTTACCGTCCACATTTATTAACAATATCTTTTGTAATAAGTTACTGAGGACGTTAAACAAGTAAAATAGTATCTTTGTTTGTAATATATGCTGGTTCTTGTTGTATATAGGTATTATTTATTATTTATATTAATTGTAAAATAAAATTGCCGTCTGTTGACTTGAAGTATATTATGTATTTTTTGTTTTTAAATATTCTTTTTTATAAAAAACTACAATTGTCAATATATAAAAAGGTTAATTTTGAACAATCTTATTATCAATTATTTTTTATTTCGAATACGTAGTATGATGATGATGAATTTGCCTGTGCTAGTGGTGTATAACAGCGTAGTACCAGTTATGGATGATACATGATGATAAAGTTAAATTAGTTGGCCCGTCGTAACCAATTGACCAGAAATTAAGCGTGATGGTATTTAAGAGGGACCACGCGGACGTAATAGGAAATATTACTGACAATAGAGTTGTTACTAACAATCCTTTTCAGCAATATTAAACTCTCAGTCTCTTTACTTTTTTCTGTGAAAAAAATAGGAAAGAAAACACTACGAGACCATAGAGGCAACTTCTATTAGATATGTCTTCTGCATCATGAGTTAGACGATCATAAAAAAAATCGTTTGTCATCGTTTTGAAATCCAATTACATAATCCACGTATCAGACGACCGCTATTAACATAATACACGGATTTGCCAGCGCCATCGTTCCAATGTATTTTTTATCGCTCACTTTCGACTCGATAACGCCTCATGAATATTCAGTGACTTAAAATTAATAATATTTTGTCATACGCCGTTGAAATTAGATAATTAAATATTCAAAATAAAACATGATTTTTGATTTCTTAATATTATTTATGTTGTCTGCATGATAAGTTAAGAGAGTCCGGTATTGACGTGCATAATTCGAGTTGTTTTTTTGATGGGTGAAAATGGTACGGTAACCCCGCCTGCGCTAACAGGATACACTGGCGGAGCACCAGTGAAGGGTGATAGATGAGAATGAAAACAGGCCAGTTAGCCCATCATGATGAATTCATCAGGAATTAACCATGATAGTTTCCAGGGAGAACCGCGAGGAGATCGACCTGGTTGAGTATATTGCTAGCAATGGGATTTTTAGTCTCCATTACTAACAATCCCTTTCCCCCCAATTCGAGTATTTGAAGACCTAACAAAGTAAGTGTCTTAGCGTAGGGTCTTATGTTTATTAGTACTTGTAGATACCACTACAATACAATACGAGTTTAAACTTTGGACGAATGAATAAGGAAAATTTAAGTTTGTATCAAATATACACCTTCGCGTATTATCTATTTACTCCTAGTTAAAACTTGTGGTATTTAGAGCGATTAGAATTGGTGAAATCTTCAAGAATATGTCGTAAATTTACAGGGTATAGAGGAATAACACTTGAGTCCTTAGGATTGGCAACGTATACCCCCATGGGCGAAACAGTACACTCTGTTATGTCCATGGTATTGCTCATGTCCATAGGCGACGGTTACCACTTTCTATCAGGTAAACCGTCAGCTTGATTACCAGTCTAAGTTGTATAAAAAAAACCCACCCATAAACCGTCGCATGTTCGATGCGCAATCTCCATTCGAACGGAATACTGTTACGTAAGCGAAACATCAAATTTGTACTGTTGTTTTATTTTAAAAATAAAATTTATGTACAAACATATAAAAGATAGGTGTTACACAATATCACATTCACTGTACTGTACTTGCACAATCAATAAATTAATATTCTCCATCAGTCCACCCGTTATTAATCCGAATGGGAACCAGTATCTAACGGTTGCCAAATGTAATTCTGTTCATTCACTACTGGTTGCCATCGGCTGAGCATGCGTGCCTGGTTGCCGCGGCCAGTTTACTGGCGGCCAACCTTGTCGATCTGGCCCTGCAAGTTGTTGATCACTTCGGACGGCACCTGGTCGCCGAGGATTTCGAACAGGTTGATCCTCTGGTTGCCAGGGATTGACTCGTAAGCCGCCAGCTCGATACCCTCTTGCACCTAAAAGAATATAATATTAAATTTCTATACATAAACTGAATTTTCCTCTTCATAAAATATTATTCGGGTGATATTTTTTTTTCTGTGAAAAAAGAATTTGCAATAAAAACTTTTTTAAATAAAGTGAACAAATTAAAAACCATGTTTAATAACAAAGATTACTCATAACAACTGTAATACAAGATTTTATTTCACAAGAAAAAAAATCACACGTGAAAAATGAATATGAAACCGACACGATAATAAAATTAATCGACCACATAAAAAAATAATATTAATATTGCTTTACAATTAGCGAAAACATTTTTTTACATCCAATAAAAAGTATATAAACAAATTAAGAACAACTTTTGGAATAAACGATCTTGCAATGTAAATCTATTGCGATGTTTTAGACAACTTTTTAAAGTCCACGCAATGACTCGATTACAAAATGTTACATAATACATGATCTGTGAACACGGAGAGCTCACACCAATTTGCATATCTATAAACAAATATATTTCAAATTATGTTTTTTATTAAATCAAAATACACGTGACTCTTCTAAACTGATATAAGTTTTTTATGGTTCTTAGAATGACAAACAAAATGGCAGTCTCTTATACTTGCCCTGTAATTTTCCTGACACATTTCACCTTCCTAATACGGGTATACTGTCCCATTCGTGTTTCTACCTTAACGCAGTTGTGTTTGCATGGCTGGGTTTCGGTTTGAAGGGTGGGATATGACAGTGCATTTACAGGGTACGGAGGAATAACACCTGAGTCCTCATGAATGGCAACGCATGGGGGGTATCATGGGCGAAACAGTATACTCTGTTATGTCCACGGTACTGCTCATGTCTATAGGCGACGGTTACCACTTTCCATCAGGTGGGCCGTCAGCTTGTTTGCCATTCTAAGTAATATAAAAAAAATCACGCAGAAACACAAGCGGGATAGAGGTACCCAAACAAATGAGTTTTGACTAGCCTACCTTCTGGATTTCAGCGTCTTTAGGAATGAGGAAGGTATTCTGTGCTTGCTTGATGGCTTCCTTGGTGAAAGCAGCTCCTTCCCGCTGGGGGGCTGCAGCCGCCGCCGCCACCAGCACCAACACGCACAGCACTGACGACTGCATGCTCACTGATCAATTACCACCGGATTCGCAACGACCACTGCAATATACAAAACAATAAGTTGATGTTGTTATATCAGTCATTGATCGTCCACTCCTGAACATACCTTCCCCCATAAGAGGGATTTTGCCAACCGCAACCGCAGTTGACTTTTGGTGATGCTTTAAAAGAGACGTTATTGCCGATGCCTTCACAAGCTTACTTAATCGCCTTTTACGACACCCACGGGAAAGGAAGGGGTGGCCTTTTCCATGCCTACACGGCCAAAGAAATAAGTAAAACATAAATCTAGAAGACGGGACTAAATGGATTTATCTTAGAGATTGGTGGTCTAAAAGAAAATTTGACAGAAATTAGAAACAGCTAAGAAGATTGAAGTTTAGCTTCTATTTAACATCCTATCGGGGGTTTTTTTAGTAAACCTACTGCAAACTCTTCATACTCAGCCCGAATTACAAAGATGTGAGTTCGAAAAAGTATTTTTTAAACATAATTAACATCAGTCGACAATTAGAATTTGTACTGCAAAGAATAACTGCGGTTTCAATCGTCATAAAGAAGCTATTTTAAAAGGAATTATCATAATCGGAATTGGCGAAGATACCGTATAAAATATACACAAAAATATACAGATGAATTGAGAAATTCCTCCTTTCGAAAGTATCCGATAGAACGTAACTGTCATCATAACAAATATCTTCCATAAAATGAAGATGTCAGCTCAGTATTACCAGTGTGATCGAAACTTGGTATAAGCTTAAATTTTGAATTTACCATTTCTCAGACTGCTGCTTTATTGAAAATGTAAATATAATAGTATATATATATATATATATATATATATATATATATATATATATATATATATATATATATATATATATATATATATATATATATATATATATATATATATATTTTCGAAAATAGAATATGATATCAATACCTCAATTAAGTATTAAATATGACACAGTATAAAATAGCTTAATATCAAAAAAAAAATTTTTGAAAAATTTGTAACAACCACACATATACAATATTTAAAACTCAAATTATAATACGTGAATAAATTACATGCATGTGTAATATCTTAAAATCACAGATTTCAACAATGAAATTGTTACATAAGCGTATGAGATGCGTATCACTTGCAGTTTGCTCGAACGCAATCTACACTCACAAGCACAATTGTACACTTCACAAGGATCCAGCCATATCGAACGGTATGGCGACCAAAGCTCACCTGTAAGGCTGCGCGGGAGTGCGGCGCGCGCGCACACCACACGCTCATATAGCCGGCCCCTCCCGCGACCACGTCACTTTCACCGCGAGGAGTACGGCTGCGCAACCGTCCTGATGATCTGTGTGGAGCTAGGAAACTGACGTTTTAAACGAGCAAGAAGCGCGAGAATTAAATTTCGTAAGAACACTGTTAAATATGAATGTGAAGCGTTGAAAATCTGCTTCAGTAGATCAGGGACAAAAAAATGTGGTAAGGCTATAAATAAAGAAGATAGTTGTAAGTATAGAAGAAGACTCAAACAGAAATAAATGGACTATGTTTTTTTTTTATACAACTTAGAATGGCAAACAAGCTGACGGCCCACCTGATGGAAAGTGGTAACCTTCGCCTATAGACATGAGCAGTACCATGGACATAACAGAGTATACTATTTCGCCCATGATACCCCCCATGCGTTGCCATTCCTGAGGACTCAGGTGTTATTCCTCCGTACCCTGTAAATTCACGCCATATCTCACCCTTCAAACCGAAACACAGCCATGCAAACACCACTGCTTCACGGTAGAAACACGAATGAGACAGAGGTGCCCAAGCAATCGACTTTTGTACAAAGTCTCCCTCTGGTGATGTGATTTTAAAATAAAAAAAGAATGAGTACTAAGAAGACTGCAAATAAGAGATGACCTGAAATAGATATGGAAAAAGTGAAAATCAAGAAAGAAAAAAAAACCAAGAAGTGAAATATTTGTCTTAGTTTATTTCTTATATAAAAACCAAATATACATATTTATTTGTCTGAGATAAACAAATTGAGGAGTATTGATTGATATAAAGGAGTCCGTTTGATTTAACAGTTGTTTTAATTTTTCTGTTTTACATTTCTATAAACCATAAGATCGTACAATAGTCAATTACAGATTAATGTCACAAATAGACTGTCTAGTTCTTGAAATCTATTTATCTATTGTTAAATAATAACTAAGAACTGACTGAGTTTTCACCTATGGACAATTAACAAAAACCTTACAAATTAAACAAAAATTAAACAAAATCGAACACTATTAATAATAAATTATGACAACCGTGTGGTTTCGGTATAAAATAGGCCACCCCTTCCTTTCCCGTGGGTATCATAGGAGACAAGTAAGAGAACTAAATGATCGAGAGATACGTAACAGTACCCCTCTTAAAACATCACCAAAGCCTAAGTGCAATTGTCAACCCGTCAGCCAAGCATGGCAACTACTAAAAAAATACTACCTTACGGCGAAGGCCTATGTTCAACAGTGGACAGTTAACAGCTGAATTGGTGATAAAATCATGGTTATTAGCATAAAACAAAAAAATATATAATTTCTGTTTATTATTTTATGTTCTCTTTGATCGATTCGTGGTTTCGATAATCGCGAACTTTACAGCCACAATAATGGGAATTGAATTTGACGAATAATTTTATTTGACTGATGCCATCGAATAATCGAGTAACTACAAGTACGACCATTGACCTAATGGATTCTGCATCATGATCGAGCTTTTTACTAATTCCAATATAACCCTTAATTTCGAAATATTAATACTGGTAAACAAGAAACTTAAATACGAGTGTAATATTACTAGAGACACTTTACACATACATAATTAATTTACTTAATACATGTTATGTAATATTTTTCTGCATAGAAAACATCTAGACTAATATAAATAAACTATTACTCGTGGATAACTGTCATGGCATATAACGAATTTCTTGAACGCCTTTGAAGAAGGCCTTAAATTCAGCAATAAACATCAAATAGCTGCAATGATGTTGTCGATGACAAATAATAATAATAATAATAAAAGCCGAAACCGAGAAGAAGAGAAAATATCTCGACCTGGCTCACGAGGTGACCGAAATGTGGGGGGTGACATCTACCGAAATCATCCCAATCGTTATGTCGGTGAACGGTCTTATCCCAACCAGACTGGAACAACATCTCAGACGGTTGGGATTCCGAGGCGGCTCACTCCCCGGCAAGATGCAGAAAGCGGTGCTCTTAGATTCTGCCCGCATTATACGCCGGTTTCTCTCCCTGGGGCCTTGAACCCCGGCCGACTGTGCTTCTGCCGGGGGTTAGTTGCCATCTCCTCTCCTTAAGAGGGGAGATGAGAATTTTAGTAAAATTTAAAAATAATAACTTTATTTCCTTAAACAAAATTAGCCTGTAGTACAATATAACTATGACCCCACACTAGGCAAAGCCTGTCTCGTGGAAGTCAAAGCTAGAAATTTAACAGTTATAAGTGCGGCGAACGGGGTAAATTTAAATATGTGACATTGAATGTCAGTTTGGATATGCATAGGTGTTTGTATGTGTGTGTGTGTGTGTGTGTGTGTGTGTGTGTGTGTGTGTGTGTGTGTGTGTGTGTGTATGTGTTTGTATTGAGTGAATAGCGAATGCCAGAAGGTGAGGTATACAGCAAGACTTATTTAACCATACATACAACTAATCGCCTGATTTGACATATCGACTTGCCCTTCCAAAAACAACGATCAATAATAAGTAGTTAGGTTATACTTTTTTTTTATACAACATAGAATGGCAAACAAGCTGACGGCCCACCTGTAGGAAAGTGGTAACCGTCGCCTACAGACATGAGCAGTAGCATGGACATAACAGAGTATACTGTTTCGCCCATGATACCCCCTATGCGTTGCCATTCCTGAGGACTCAGGTTTTATTCCTCCGTACCCAGTAAATTCACGCCATATCCCACCCTTCAAACCGAAACACAGCCATGCAAACACAATTGATTCACGGTAGAAACACGAATGGGACAGAGGTACCCAAGCAATCGACTTTTGTACAAAGTCTCCCTCTGGTATTACGGCAGGTACCTGCAGGCATTACGACCTAGAATATCAGAATACAGGACAAATGACGCTTGTGACTGTAAGACCGACTACCAGCAGTCCTGGTCCTTAAACAGGAGGCAAACAAATCTGTTGATAGAATTGTTATCACTACATTATTCATTAGATACAATGAAATGGCGACATCCAGCGTCTCGTTCTTTCTTATGCAAATGTTAACTGACACAATTCTACTGATGGTTTAACTCTAGAGAAGGTTACTTGTTTAAAAGTATTTGAACCATCTCAAAGCCAGGTCACATAAAGTACAGTTGCAACTAGCATCTCTGGAATCACATCCAAATTGATCTCTCATCTTCTAAACTGTGTACTGAGCCCTAAAAGTTGCATTGTAAAAGATCTGTAAAAGGGCAATGACAGCACTATTAGCAAGTCAACATTTTGAGCAAAGGTTATCCGACCCCTTAACCAGGGGCGAAAGAGATTGTTAGAAATGAGACCTGACAATACTGACACGATAAGGCAGTTAGATCTCCACGCGGTTTTCCCTTGAAACTTCTTCTTGTAAATTCTTGTTGAATTCGTCCCGATGAGTCAACTGACCTGCGTTCATTCTCACCCATCATGTCTTACTAAAGACGTATATCAATTGCAGGCAATGTTACCTTTCCATTATCACCCATTAAAAAAGTTCCCTTGATCACCAACACGAAGAAAATTATAGTTAGTGAAAGAAAATTCGTACGCATACCCTAGATCCTGTCCATCATGAGAATAGAATGAATGAATGAATGAGTATACTTTATTTGCATTATACAATATAGGAAATAAGCAAAACAATTTACAAACACAACGATACAAGTGTATAAGTACAGTAAGTTGGTCTTATTGCTGAGAGCAATCTTTTCAAGACAACCTTAAGGTAATAGAACATAATGGAATTCATCATTTTGATTGATTTCTAATTCAGGTAATTTGAAAGGACGAATCTTGTTATAGTATTACATCCTTATATCGTAATACCAGGTTCAAGTCGACTGAGCCGAGTGCAAACAGCCTCTACCTAGTAACAGTATGCATCTGTTACTTCGTCTACTTTCATAACTCAGGAGTTATGACGACAGGTCGTTAAGGGCGAAAAAGGATTGTTAGTAATGGAAACTGAGAATCCCATTGCTAGCAACATACCCAACCAGGTCGATCTCCTCGCGGTTCCACCTGGAAACTGTCATGGTTAATTCCTGATGAATTCATCATGATGGGCTAACTGGCCTGTTTTCATTCTCATCAATCACCGTTCACTGGTGCTCCGCCAGCGTATCCCGTTAGCGCAGGCGGGGTTACCATATCATTGTCACCCATAAAAAAAAATAGTACATATTCTATATATAGCAATGGGATTCTCAGTCTCCATTACTAATAATCCTCGTCCCCCCAATATGTACTGTTAGAATGTATCAAATGGGGTAAATAGATAACGCACGAGTGCCTATGAATAAATCATGTACCAAACCGGCCGCCAGTCGCAGCCTAATTGAATGTGACCTCGTGTCGCATATTAGATGCTCTTTGGAGATGTTTTATACAGCAATGTTGCTCTATAAATCCCACTCGTCACATTAGTATACAAATGAGATATATTTATCTCAATTATTCAAGAAGAAGTCGCACGAATTTGCCTTTTTTTGAAGTCACTTCTAATCATTTAATATTTTAACTTGTACATAATTTACTGAGTACTCTGAGTTTACCAGAGGGAGACTTTGTACAAAAGTCGATTGCTTGGGTACCTCTGTCCCATTCGTGTTGCAACCGTGAAGCAGTTGTGTTCGCATGGCTGTGTTTCGGTTTGAAGGGTGGGATATGGCATGAATCCACTGAGTACAGAGGAAACGCATGGGGGGTATCATGGGCGAAACAGTATAGTCTGTTATATCCATGGTACTGCTCATGTCTATAGGCGACGGTTACCACTTTCCAACAGGTGGGCCGTCAGCTTGTATGCCAGTCTAAGCTGTATATAAAAAAAAAAAAAAACTCTTCACCTGTTATATAGATAGCCATATTCTTCCAATTTTTTAATGATAATATAATAATTATAGAACCACTCCATTCCAGTCCATTGGGGAAATACTGTCAACCTTATTCAAAACAATAGTGTTTAAAGAAAGAAAGAAGTAGAAAGAAATAATTTAATCGAAGAAGCATGCGGCCCACA